TTTTTTGCTGCTTGGGGCGGTAGAAACGCTAGAGCCGGCCCTGCCCGAGGTGCCGCGTATCCACTGGGTGAGTGGAACAAAGTCCGTGGGCTGAACTCGGGTGGGGCTAGGAGAGTGCAGAGGGGCCCATGGGTCTGTCTGCGCTGGGGCTGGAAGGTGAACGTTCCAGCTCAATCAGACGGAGTCGCACTAGCTCTCCTGTAGCTAGAAATAGAAGTGTTGCCATGGCGGCAGGAGGGGCTGGCTGCCCTGATTTGTACCTGTGGTCTTGGACGGGATCGTAGTCGGGGCAGGGAGCCTCTCCTGTTACTTGCCCAAATGCGGCCATGCTTCTATTTCTAGCATGCCACTGGGTCAGAGCAAGCCCGGGTATGTCTCCTTGAACTAGAATTCACACCTAGGCCTATGCTACATTGGTGTCACCTGCAATTTCCTCTGCTCCCTCCAGTGCTCACCTTGCACCACCTGAGACTCCATCCAGATCCACTGAAACACCCTTAGATTTACTGGGCCAGATTCCTGGGGCTGGCTGAGATGGGTTCACTATGAGACCAGAGCGTGGAGTGATCAAAGATGGCTTTCCACTGCTTTAACAGCTACTGAATCCCAGGGGATAACTGCGCATCAGTCTGGTTAAATCTATCTCTGAAGTGTTCACCCATATATGCCAGGCTAATATATCACATGATCAATAAGTATGATTCAAATTACATATATTAATATGGATAGTATTTGCTTAAGGGATATAACATTCTATTGTATGTACACTTCTGGCAGTTACATGGCCTGTAATGGTGGCCAGTGTCTTTCTATACTCTTGTTCACCTATGCTATCCCATGACATCTTGCATTAGCCAGGAAAACTGTCAGGATCAGCACCTGTGGGTGTTCTACTGTAGTAACAGGCAGGGAGTTACTCTCACTGGAGTGTCCCAAAAATAAGGACAATATATATGGGGCAAGCCTAGGAGGTGCATCACGCTCTTGGTACCTGGAATTCCTGAGTCCAGAACAAAGAACTAAGGGGTACCGCGTGGTACCAAAAAACAAGGTAGAAAGATGGTAGGTTAAGACTAGCCTCAGAGGATGCATACAGTACCTCTTTCCTTGTAAACAGGTTGGGTATAAAAAGGACGGCTTTAGGGATGTGACTTTGGACACAAGCCTTATTTATAAGATGAATTCAGCCCTGCTGCAGGAGACGTTCCCGGAAATTGGAGTTGTATTGAACCTTTGTTCCTGTAATATGCTGTTACTGAGTATTAGCAATAAACCACACTGATATTGGTTATTTGGGCATATTGCATAATGAACCAAAGTGTGGTCGAGCAATTGACCATACGGTTTACCAACAGAAGGGAAAAACCAGAATCTTCAGAACTGGAAAGGTTTACGGGCCGCATGTCCCAGCTAGAGTAAATTGACAGAACTTCACTGAAGTTACGAGAGTGATGCCAGTTTATACCCGGTGAGGATCTGGCCCTCTCCGTATGTGAGGTTTAGTCCCTGTATGTTCATTTGTCCATTCAGTCTCATCCCCTCCGTTCACGGGGTTCTAGTTTGCCACTAGACACACTGTCTTTTACATGATTCCTCCTTCTCCTGCGTCTCACTGAGTCGTCTCCGAATGGTGTCACTAGGTCTCGCCTTCTACTCAAGGGTTGGTGGCGTAGACAGCAGTAACTGGAGGACTAGCAGGCTGGCCGAGTGGGGGTAAGGTGGGATTGAGATGCATTGGCACATCTCTGCCTGGGATCGAGATTGAGGGGCACCACAGTGACGGTGGTTGGGGGGAATCCCAGGGCTACAATAGCCGGGGCTGTGGGTCAGGATTGAGAGGCATCAGCAGAGCTGTGGAAATGAGGAAGCCCAGGACAGAAATGGGGGGGGTGGGGCTGTGGGTCAGGATACAGACCATTGGCAGAGCTGTCCTGCCACGGGAGTCGAGGTTGGTCACCAGCGCCCCCTGGAGGTGATCAGCACCTTGCAGGAGTAGGCCCGTGCTGGGCAATACAACAAAAACATTGCCTAACTAGGGTGTGGCTTTCAAACTGCCTCGGTGACTTCATCCGATGCATGCCGTGGAAAATACAGTAGGAAGATATATATACACAGAGAACAGGAAAAAATGGGTGTTGCCATACCAACTGTAACGAGAGTAATTCATTAAGGTGAGCTATTATCAGCAGGAGAAAAAAAAAACTTTTCTAGTGATAATCAGGAGGGCCAATTTCCAACAGTTGACAAGAAGATGTGAGTAACAGTAGGGGGGAAAATGAGCATGGGGAAACAGTTTTTACTTTGTATAATGAGCCATCCACTCCCACTCTTTATTCAAGCCTAAATAAATGGTGTCTGGTTTGCAAATTAATTCCAATTATGCAGTTTCTCATTGGAGTCTGTTTTTGAAGTTTTTTTTGTTGGAATATTGCAACTTTGAGATCTGTAATTGAGTGTCCAGGGAGGTTGACGTGTTCTCCGACTGGTTTTTGAATGTTATAAGTCTTGATGTCTGATTTGTGTACATTTATTCTTTTGCGTAGAGACAGTCCGGTTTGGCCAATGTTCATGGCAGACGGGCATTGCTAGCACATGATGGCATATATCACGTTTTTTTTCTCCTACTGATAATAGCTCACCCCTCCTCCTAAATGGAAAAGTACCAGGTTTAAGATGGATTTCATTATCAGGTGAATGGTCACATGTCACTGTAAGACCCCTAGTCTCCATTCCCCATGGGCTGGCCCACACATACACAGGGAGGCTTTCAAGTAACTAAGGTCATTTAGAACTGATTGTTTCTGGAGCACCCTTAATGGCCTCCACTTAATATGTTTTTCATCAATGATACAGGTTTATATCTTATTCTCCTAACTCCAGATATAGAAATAACACATGCAAACAAATAGGATGAACACACTTAGTAGATTACAAGCTTTCTAAAGACACCATACAAGGGGTATTTAGCATAAAGCATATTCCAGTTATGCCATATTCATGAGCATATTTCTATAAAGCATATGAAGTGCAACATCACAGGGGGTTCCAGCCGGTTCTGTTTTGTATTGGAACCCCTAGGTATTGAACCCGGCCCTGGTGGCTGCAGACTCTGCCTGGCAGAAAGGTTACTCCTGGCAAGAAAAGCAGAAAAATGACAATAGGTTCCAAGGCCACTGAGAGTGTAATGTGCAAACTGGTGGGTTGTCTCTGGGAGGTGACACACAAAGCCCCTGGATCCTGATCCTTAGGGATAATGGAGCCAAGGGAAATTCTTCACGGCGCTGACTGCTCACTGGGGAAGATCCGTCTGCACTGACAAGGATTCAATCCCAGGGGACAATCTGATCTATTCAGATCATTACACTGCAAGAGCCAATGCCTGCCTAGCCCACAGTGAGTGACTCCTGGAGCTCCCAGGAGAGCCAAGGGAAGGGAACGCGGAGGTGCCAGGACAGGACATTCTGTTCTGGTGCCTAAGACATCTAGGATACTCCTCGATAGTGACCGACTCTCACTAACACTTGCAGTGACGTTCCCAGCTGGCTCATAACCAATCCTGAGTCATTCGGGGGGCAAAGCACCTTTACAGCAGTAATGAGACCCAGCTAGAGATGACTGTGTCACAGGCTGGTATTGGAACACAGCAGAGAACCTCTTACCGTCTTGGTGCTGGTGGTGGGGACAGCAGACATGGATAGATCAGATGTCTGAGATTTTGTGCTGGATGTTCGGAATCCATTGAGCCATCTCCTGTATTCCTCTCTCACCTGGAGAGTGACGGACATGGTCACTGCACTATGTAACTAACTCGGAGAAGATCAAACATGGTCACCGTGAGGCCAGTGAAGGTGCTGGGCGCTGACGGGGCATGGGCATTACCTGGCGATTGAGGAGACAGTGCACCAGGAAGATGAAGGGTCCCTGCAGGCTGTTGAGAATGAAGAATAAATACTGCATGACCACGGATTGTGTGAAGGGACCAAGGCTCCATGTGCAGCCCAGAATGAAAAACTGGGCGATGGCTTTAAAGGTCAGTAACCTGGATAAAGGCAGATGGAGAGATCCTGTTACAATAACTCTATGGAGAGTAATTGGGTCAGGAGGATCTGGGCAGAATGGGGTGGAGCTAACATCTCCGGCTTTCCTGTGTGGGACAGTGTCAATAAAAACACTGTGTTTATTTGTTCCCATGGATCCTAGATATGCTGTTCCCCTCCTGCAATCCCTCACACCCTCCCTGTGCCAAGGACCCTCCAAACCAAGGCATCTGACCATCCAGGATTTTTTTGTTGCCTTCTTACCTGTGGTCTCTGAGGGTGGACACATCTGCATTGAGGGAGGAGAGTGTTTTTCTGAGGATCCACAGAGTCAGGACAAAGAACATCATATTTATCTGTGGGAACAGTGGGAAATATTTCCTGTAAAACATCCCATCCGGGGCCGGTGACTCCAGCTGAGGCAGAGACCGATCCCAGGGCACCGATCCGAACACTGCAGAACCGGGGACTGCTCATTTCCGGTGGGAATCATCCCCTCTCCTGTAATATCCCCTGGCAGCTCTCGGTCCCTCCCCATGCCTGGAGCTGACAGCACAGCCAGGGCTAAGATGGATCAATGGGATCACAGAGGCCAGATGCTGCTCCGAGTTAAATATGGAGCCTCTCCAGTGGAGTCAGTAGCAATTTTGTGTTTACACTGGTGTAATTGAGAGCAGGATCTGGCTCAGAGATTCCAGATCCTGCCTCTAGAATACTTCCTGCCACTTTCAGGCTGTAACAAATTCTCCGCACCCCCAATTTCTACAGGGTGTAGGGAGGAATATGTAGGGACATTTGTTTCCATCCCCCTAGAAAAACCACTGCAGAGTGCTGCCCTCGCCCTTCCTTGTTCCTTGGGTCATTAACTAGACTAGATCACACTCTTGCTGTCTTCACTTGGCAAAACTCCTGACGTCCATGGGAGCTGTGCCTGACTAAAAGCTGTAGACCTGGGGATGCAGCACAGGGACTAATCCTGCGACTAACCCAGCAGATGAGCCAGGTAGGACCTAACTGGGTTTTTCCTTGTGTTTTATGGGCCATGTTCTTCTCCCTGCTTCACTGAAATCATTGGGGTCGCAGAGGTGAGAGGAGAATGAGACCTTGAGGTTCTGTGAGGTACCCACCAGGATTATGGCACCGATTGGACCCGCAGCGCTCCAACCAAAGCCTCTCTCTTGGCTGAGCCAGCAGCTAAAGGCAGAGAGGAAGAAGAAGGTGACTGTAATGGGATTACTGCCCTTTTTCAGCCCCGGGGGCAGAGAGGGGGGGTCACAGGGCAGCTGGCTCTCAAAAGCGAGATGGATCTCAGCCTGCCTGGGACATGGCCGACTCTCTTGCAGGCAGCAGGCAAACAGCCCTCCCCATCTCCCTCAGCATCTCCTTCTTCCAGCCCCCACTTCCTCTTCCACTTCCTCAATGATCCTTTCTGGTGGATGGGCGCAGTATTGATGGAGGGCCAGACATGCAGCGGATGGACATTGGCCTCGCTACACTGAAGGAAGTGAAGCTCCCAGGCAGGGTGAGCAGGGAAATCTAGGTTCAAGTCAGACCTGGGGTGAGCTGGACAAGCGCATGGAAGCCACATCCCAGCTCCCCTTCGGGATGGGCGCTGCACGTACTGTTCAGAAGTTCCGTAGCCATGAGGATTCACCGCTGCAGAAATAGCCACCAGCAGGGCTGGGAAGCCGTAGCCGAACGGGTACATGAATCTCTTCTTGAACCAGCTGGCGCTGGTGTAATTCACGACCTGCAGGTTCCTGACGGTGAGGAAGAGGTGCAGCCCCTCCAGGAACATCCAGGAGAAGCAGGCCAGGAAGAGGTAGTGTTGGAGTGCAGCAATGACAGCACACGCCACCTGGGGGAGACAGAGAGCCCAGGGACACTGCAGCGGGGAAGGGAAATGTTGAGTATGGGGGAGACTTGTTGCGGGGGGTCACACCGGGATTCTTGCTAGGACAGGTCTCCAGTTATAGCGCTCAGTGACCCAGAGGCGGCAGGTTCCTCAGTCTATGGAGGGTCCTGTGGGTGCACATTGCTGATGCAGGAAGGGAGCAGAGATTAGTGGTTAGAGCAGGGGAGCAGGGCTCAGGGGATCCAGGTTCTTTTCCCAGCCTTGCCACAGAGTCCCTGGGTGACCACGGGCAAGTCACGTAGGAGAGGAATTGAGGCACAGGGAGCCTGTGACATAGGGATAGAACTGGCTGAACTCCAGGGGTTGGGGACACTCAGACCACTGTGCCCAATGTGAAGGGGCCTAAGAGGCTGGAAACATCACCCGGAAACCCCCCTGTGCCCTGCACAGCCCAGAGTCCAGGGAGCACAAAGGGGTTCAAAGCCACATGGCCCGGCCCTGCTGTGAGTGGAGAAACAGAGCAGGGGAGAATCGGGCCGTACCTGATTGTCGCTGCGGGGCACCGGGTTGAAGATGAACCCCTGGAACAAGGCGAGGCAGAGGCAGAACTGCAGGTGGAGGGAGGTGCTGACGTTACGGATGGAGCGGCACAGGAGGAAGGTGAGGATGGCGAGCAAGAGGCACAGCAGTGACAGGGTCAGTCCGACGTATTTGATGATGGTCAGTGGGTAACTCTCCTGTAACACAGCAAAGGGACAATCACCAGTGACCCCAGCCCAGCCCCCTAGGCTCCGACTCAGCCTTTTCCCCAGCAAAGCCTCCAGTCGCTCCATGGAGCGTTTTGCCCAAGGCTGAGTGCGGAGCTCAGGGTCCTGCCCTGTGATCCGAGTCTCACGGTGAGATACCGTCACTGTGGTGAGAGCCATTAGGACGGCGAAGCTGGAGAGATGGTCACAGCTGCAGGTGGTGTGAGTGCTGTTCGTGTGCACGGCACGGCAGCCGTCCGGAGACCAGCTGCCCCTCTTGGCCACTACTTTCCAGTAGACGCAGAGAGCCTCGACCTCCTGTTTTTTAGCCGCTCTACTAGAAGGATGAGGAGGATCGAGTCCCAGCGATGAAAGGAACAAACACAGGATTGCCCTTATCTGGGATGGGGTTTATAGGGATCACCATAATACTAACAGCAAAGGTTTTTGTCTGGGAATTTCCATATTGGTGGTAAAAAACACAGGGCAAAATCCTCAACTAATGAAGGATGGATTCAAACGTACCTGCAGAGAGAAATTCCTGCCATTCTCTTTGATTCCCTCGAACTTAGCGCTGGAGTTAATGCTGGGGGCTTGGAGCGACGGGAAGAGAGAAGCAGACGTTAGCGCTTTCAGCAAGTGCAGAGCGGCTCCCCCCCCACCCCACACACAGTGGGTTCAACTCATTTCACACGCCCCATTCGCTGATTTTCATCTCTGGGCGCCTGGCAAAGAGCTCCGACGCCATCCACCGCCTGGCAACAAGCTGCCATCGGCTGCACAGGGGCTTGGTTCCCCGGGGAGCCCCCGGCACAGACAGGCAGAGCCGCCGGAGCCGGGCAATGGTTCAAGTGAACGTTTTCGATCTCACCCAATTTTTCTCCTTTTTCTTGCTGTCGTCGTTACGCTCATTAGCGTCAATTTCAAATCGAAACCTCACTTTCAACAGGAAAACAGGAATTTTTCATTTTGAAAATTATTTCATCTCCCCCTGCCCCACGCACTTTTTTCCTGAGTAAAACCAAACATTCCTCTGAACCGAATTGACATTTTCTGGCAAAAAATGGTTCCTTGGGAAATTCCTGCCCGGCTCTGCTCTGGATTGACTGAGAGCGGAGTCGGTCTCGAGGCTAGTTTGGATCCTGAGCTGCCTCCCAGGACCTAGACTGTGACCTGCCTACGGGGGCTCCTGGATCCTTTAGCTGCCCGGTGTCTGGGGCTCCGCTGGGATCCGTCCCTCTGGCCAGCGTGAGGGGAAGGATCCCAGCGCAGCTTAGCCGGCTGCAGGGCTTGCGATGGGAGCAGACGGAGCAGGGTGGGTGCCGCACTGGGGGACCCCAGTGGGTCAATTGGAATTTGCCCAAATCCCATCTTGGGATTCGCAGCAGAGCTGGGCTCTGGGCGCAGAGTCTGGATCCCAAACGCCCCGCAGCTGGGCACGTGGGTCCCAGGTTTCAGTTCAGCCCGATTTTAGAGGACGGGGGCACCTACAAATGCCACTTCTAACATCTGACATCTAACATCAGGGGTTTGATTTGGGCTGGTCGATAACACGGCCCTTGGCTACAAAGGGGATCTGCCCCTCACTCCAGCCCCCAGTGTAGACCCCTGGCCTCAGTGTCTATTCTCTGCTGGCCACGGGGCAGGGAAGGGAAGGGGAGGGCTACACAGGGGCCTTCTCCTCTCCCCTGCACACACACACCGTGCTCTATAAACCCACCCCAAGACGCCCACACCAAGGGGCTGCTCCCGGCTCGCCAGACCCCTGACTCTGCTCTCCTCCCACAAGGGAAAGGGACCGGAGGGGGCGGAGGCAGGAGACCCCGGGCAGCCGGGAGCGCTCGGGAAGGTTAGCCAGGAGGAGTCAGCCTTACCTTGTATGCCATGATTCTGGGCCACGGTGCCCCACAGGCACAGGGCGATGCAGAGCCCTGGAAGGCAGAGACAGGGTAAGGCACCATGGGCAGATGGTAACCGCCACTCAGCTGCACACACCCCCAGCCGCCCCCGTCCTGCCAATCCTGGGCCAATGGCCAGTCAGTGCCCTGCCGATGGTGGAATTAAAAATTAGAAACCTGCTGCTCTGGGAAATCAGCCCCAGCTGGGATCCCTGTTCATATTTTTACCCGAGTCCAGTTGTGAACTTGACTTTTGACCAGGGCAACTGGGTCTTTTATTGTGAGTATTAGGAACAAAGACCAGGAGCCCCCATTGTCAGGGCTGGATTTATACTTAGGGTGCCCCTAGGCACAGGGGCTCGGCTGTCATCCCCCTCCCCAGCTTGGAGCTCCAGGGGCCCCTGCTGCCTGTTTTCAGCTGGGAACTGCAGGGTACCCCTGCTGCTCAGAAGCTCTTAACCACCTTGGTTGGCAGGGGACCCCCACCACTTTTAACTTTTATGTGCCCTGCTGCCCAGCGCCCTTCCAACAACTGTCCAGCACCTCACACCCCCTCTGCCCAGAGCTGCCCCATGAACTCCCCCAGAGACCCACTCTCCCAAGCCCTGTCCCCCGGCCCGCACTCACTGGCCCCCCTGGGAGGTGACGCTGTCTGCCGTACAGAGCAAGGAGTGCTCCCGCAGCAGGGCTGTGTGGGGCTGTCTCCCACTCAGCCAGCTCCGCCCCCTGCTGGGACCTGGGAGTGGCAAAATTTGAATTTTTATGCGCCCCATAGAATGCCGGCGTCCCTAGGCACGTGCCTCCTGTGGCTAATCGGAAATCTGGCTCTGCCCATTTTACCAGGTGGCACCCAGAGCCCACCAAAATCAGGCCCCCCATTGTGCCAGGTGTTGCAAAGAGCTGACCGAGATCAGGGCCACATCACGCTCGATGCTGTACAGACACACAGTGAGACAGTTTGTGACCCCAAAGTGCCATGGCAACAGGCAAAGGGAGAAACAGTCTCTCCATTTTACATAGGGGAAAACTGAGGCACGGTGCGGGGTAATGACTTACCCAAGGTCACCCCGTGCGTCCATGCAATGGACAAACCCACTTGGAAAGGGGAAGCAACAAGGGGGGGATGAGGCGAAAAGACAACACAGGCTGCTTTTGATCTGCTTTTATCTCAGATATCGGCCCTGATCCACCACCTCCTGCTGGTGTTTATTTATAGCCAGTTGCTCTGAGTTATTAACCACATGTCGGTGCAAAGAACCACCGTACAGAGGACAAGCAAACAGAGGGAATTTGCCTGTGAATCCTCGGAGAGGAGCTAAGGTGAGTGCTGCATTAGGGGGGCTGTGTTGTGAATATTCGATTATCTGTCTGCTGTGACCATTGGTTTGACCTTGTGCTTGTTTGTTTGAATAGTGTGATTGTTTGACCGGATGGGTGTCTGATTGAAAAGTGTGACTTGGGAGTGCTTTGTTCCAGGTGGACCTTGAGTGGTTGATTGGAGGGAAGGCTTTGAGCCAGACCACCTGCTTCAAGCCAGCAGCCTTATAAAAAGGCAGCCAGCAGCGAACTGAGTGAGTAGCGAACAGAGGACAGGCAAACAGAGGGAGTTTGCCTGGGAGTTTGCCTGCGGGGAGTTCGCATAATGTGTTTTTGCCTTCCAGGCTCCTGTGAGCAGTACATACAACATCTGAGATGCCTCTTATAAGGAAGACATGGATAGTGAGCGATCACCTGTTGTGACCTGCTCAGAATGTGCCATGTTTGTCTTTCTCCCAGAGGACAGAAGTGACTTTGTCTGTACAAAGTGCAAGCTGGTCTGCATATTGGAAGAGAAGCTTCAAGGACTAGAGAACCAAGTGTCAGTCCTGCATTGCATCAGAGAACATGAACATTTTCTGGATAGAAGTCAGTGTTTGGTGTTGGAAGCACAATATGCAGAAGAATCAGAGACTGCAGCACAGAACAGGGAAGAATATTGGCAGCATGTGACCTCCAGAAGAAGAAAGAAGAGAAGCTATGTACCCGCAATGCAGATGGAGCCCTCTCTCCGACACCACCTCCGTAACCACACATTCACCTCCACAATTGGATGGTCCCTACCTGGGCCTTTTCCTTCAACAGGGAGGATGGACAAGAACACGACTTGCTCCTCAAACTCCTTTATCCTTCTTCCCAGAGCCACGTAGTCTGCAGTGATCCACTCAAGATCATTCTTGGCAGTATCATTGGTGCCCACGTGATGAAGTAGGAAGGGGTAGCGGTCTGAGGTCTTGATCAGACTCGGCAGACACTCCGACACATCCTGGATTCTAGCTACAGGCAAGCAGCACAGTTC